ATGCTGAGAGTGAACTGGCCAAACCAGGCCTTCTGAAGTCCACTGTAGTTTAATAAATCCAAACTCCAGCTTTATCAGTGTTTTTGTAACCAGCATATAGGTCAAAGTGTGAATGCAGTTCCTATTAAAATCAACAGATCAAATACGTTCTCATTCGGCCCTTGCTCAAACTTTCACACTGAGTCATGATCCAACTTCATAGGCATTAATCAGAACCTGTCTGGAACTGGCTAGACTCAATTGCTTCTCTTTGTTTTAGGAGACAGTTCCTTAAACTTCTGTACATCTGGGTAACATTACTACACAGATGGCTGAATGCATTTCTGAAAGCTTAGTACATTTTTACTTATCATTAATTGTAACACTTCGAGTAAATCTGACTGAAGTGATAAAGCAGGGACTTCTAAGTAGAATTACTTCCTATCTCCGTACAGATACAGAACTACATCATGCTATTTGCTGTTTGATTTACAGGTTTAATTGAGTGTTCTTAGTATCAGCTATTTGGGAAGATTTTCAGCAACTAATAATTTTAAAGGTTAGCATTATTGATTATAGAATCAAAACCACCCCGTGTATCCCAGCTCATCTCATACTGATCCCAGCTATTTGAATAAAGCTACACATTCTGCCTCTGATTTATTCTGTGAGGTCTAAACTAATTCACCATTTCCCTTCCATATGGTAAGTGGGTGTAGTAGAGCTGCATGTTCCAGGAGCCATCTTCACAAGTAAAGGTATTTTGATGAGTCATCTTGATGTAAACTGCTTGAACTCTGCATTGCTGCTGAGTCATTCCAGCATTTCTCTTTCATACATTCCTTCTGGAATATAAAGATCTGGGGAGCAAGGGTGAGTTGGCTTGAGGTATTGGAGCTAAAGGTCAAGAAACTGTGAGGAGAATCCGGGCTTTTGAAGAGAAATTATGAGTTGCACTTGGTTATTGAACTAAATCCACATGTATATTTAGGGAACATTTGGACAATGTACAGTATGGCTGTAATTTGTTCAACTCAGAGTGGAAATTCTGTCTGCTTGTACTACTCTTAAGACTTACACAAATTATGCTCAAGGGAAGCGTATTCCCTAAATATGCAGAAAATCTTTGGAATGTGTCGGATGGACTCTTTTGTTTCTTTCCTCTGTAAATGATACTTTCTCAGTGAAGAAAATCTGTTTTCAGGAAGTCAGATTTAGGTCAGTGTTCCGGAAGTCTAATTTTACTCAATCAGCAAAATGCTACCAAGATTCCTAGTAACTGGGTTGGGTAGAGAAGTGAGAGAAGGAAAGCAGAGTCTCATTATTCCATAGCATCAGTTGGAATGGTACTTGGACTTGTACCTTTAAGTAAACTATTTAGTATTCAAACTACTTAACTGCTTCCAAGTATTCTAGAACCATGGATTAGGAAAATATGAGATTTTAAGGAAATCACTTAGTGGAAGAATTGCTCACTAGCAAGGCTCTTTACCTTCACAATTCTTGTCTCTTTTGAAGAACTAGTAAGTTTGTGAAGAATAACTTCTCCTTAAAGGACTGTGGTGGGTCTACCCTAATACCTTGCGTTTATCCAAAACCCAACAACTTCTGTTCATCAGTATAATTTCTACCAACTTGTGCAGGACAGACATCAGATTTACAGGTCCATCTTGGAGCTCTTTTAGAGAGTTGACCTCAGGTTTGCCACTTTCCATTCCTTGAGGACAGAGCCTATCTTAAATTACGCATTACATACCGTGGTTAGTATGTCATTTGGGAGCACGTAACCTGGCATATAGCTTCTCACTATTTGTTTTATGGAGTAGGTCTAATGTTCTGGTACTGACATTCCATTTCATGATAGATCCTGCATTTCATTCCCTTTGAAGAAAGACTCTATATAAGATATGTTGTGAACTCCTTCATGGTGATCAAAGACACGAAGGGTTTGTTTAGCTTTCTACTACAGCCTTGTCTTCTGGTGCACACTGATAACTTGTTGGCCTTACAGATTTCCTGGCACAGTTTCTTGCTTTTGATGGCTTTGAAAAAGGTTTTCATTCATAGTGTTTCTGCCCTAATAAAATGTTTCTCAGGACTAGTTTTGATTTGCTTTACTTCCTTTTTAAATCTTCCTAGCCAAACTTTATGGTTTGTTTTTTTTCCTCCATTTGGAAACAACTTAATTTTTTGGAGGGTGTTCCTGTATCCCTCCTTCTCCGCTCTTATTAATCATTTGGGACTTTTTTGGTCTTCTATAAAGCATGTCTGCTACGTGGTACACGTTTGTTCTGAATAGCCTCTATTTCTAATGTCTTTAAGCAGTTTGCACCCCACCTGTAAATATTTTATTGCTGCTCATTTTTAAAGTTAAGTACAGGGGGTGGGTTTCTTTCTTTTTTTCTTCCTTTTTTATAATCTCTTTTTCCCAAGAAGTTTAGACCTCATCATCAATAGGATGAAAATAAACATGAAATAGAGAATGGACGTATCACATGGGAGTAATTCTGTTTTAATTTTACACTGCTAGATCTGAGAATGGGGTAAAGATATCTATTTAATGAAAGATTAGAATTGCAGTTTTCAGTTCTGCAATTGTCTCCCTTTGTGACCTTGAACAAATCATACATAGTTTCAGTGCCTTGCTTTTTTATTTTATTTGGAAATTGATGATTATATGAGAAAGGTTTTAGGAAGTACTGTTAATAATTTGGGGCAAATAGATAATATGGCGAGGACTTCAGTAAATTGAGATGTCTAAGGGGAGGACGTTTGAACTTTGGTATTAAGCAACGTTCATTGAGCAGCTGTGAATTCAGCAGGATACACTGTTTGATAGTGATACAACTCCCACACAGCAGTGACAAATTAGTGTACAGCTGACGCCGCTGGACAGGATCCGGTATCCCAAAGGGCACAGCCTCAGATGCCCTCACCCGAACTCAGTCTTCTCCCTGTCACAGATGCACCTTTCCATTCCCAAGCTGTTTATCACCTCCAGTATAGGATTTCTTCCCAGACAGCTCCACATCATCTTCAGTAATTAATTGCAGACCTCTTGAGCCTCGTTGGATCCGTTCCTGCTGTTCACTGCATGATGAAGATTTAAGCAGCCTGCCTTACAACCCAGCTTGTTCCAGGAAAACACTGCAAGTTTCCTTCGTGCCCTCACGTGTCTCCCTCTGTGCAGTGCAAGCACGGCCCTAGGTGCATTACACCGCACTGGCACAGCAGCCAGAGACCTTAGAGAGCTTCTGCCTATTTTTATATCCACAGTCCTCCAGGCATAGGGTACAATACCTGACCATGTTGTCTGTGATGGCAAGTTGCACTTGTGCTCTCAAGTAACCAACATGTGTCATTTTCTACTCTGGTTATTGGCCAGGGTGTGTAAGGAATCTTTATCCTTGTTTGCATTCACAAATAACATACAGATCACTTAACCATTAACCACTTGTAGCAAAGCATGTGAGACTTGAACATTTTCACAACCCTGGAAGGTGATGAAGTCCTCAAACTCATGGGGTTTTATTAGTAAAAATATTACTTCTTTGGTAGAGCTGGAAGGCACTGCAGAGGAGCCATCCAATGGCCTTGCATTTCCCCCAGACAAGGTCAGTGCTGCTTCATGACATTAACATTACCGTTACAAAATGTAGGGAGATCCTGGGCTGCATTGGAGCATGGCCAGCAGGTTGAGGAAGGGGGTTCTCTGCTCTGGTGAGACCCCTGCTGCAGTCCTGTGTCCAGATCTGGGGCCCCAAACACAAGCCGGACGTGGAGCTGTTGGAGCGAGGCCAGAGGAGGCCATGGAGATGCTGTGAGGGCTGGAGCAGCTCTGCTCTGGAGCCAGGCTGAGAGAGCTGGGCTGGGTCAGCCTGGGAAGAGAAGGCTCCTGAAGGGGAGACCTTAGAGCAGCTCCAGTGCCTAAAGGGGCTGCAGGAAACCTGGAGAGGGGCTTGGGACAAGGGCCTGTAGGGACAGGCCAAGGGGAATGGCTTGAACCTGACAGAGGGGAGACTGAGATGAGCTCTTAGGCAGAAGCTCTTCCCTGTGAGAGTGCTGAGGCGTTGGCACAGGGTGCCCAGAGAAGCTGTGGCTGCCCCATCCCTGGCAGTGTTCAAGGCCAGGTTGGACATAGGAGCTTGGAGCAAGCTGCTCCAGTGGAAGGGATCCCTGCCCGTGGCAGAGGGTTGGAACTTGATGAGCTTTAAGGTCCCTTCAACCCAAACCACTCTGGGATGCTGTGATCACCACATTAACTATAACCGAGTGTCACCATGTTAGAAAAGAGTGAAGTTTTTAAGATAAATAATCATATAAAATGGTAGGAACGATTATGTTTAAGAGGTTTATAAATCAATAGTGTGATTTTGTAGAGTAGAAAGAGCTATAATTTTGCAGTTCCGTCTGCAGTCCGGTATTGTGGTTAACCTGTAACCAGTGATACAATGGTAGTCTTGGTAGCAAGAGCTTATATAACCATATATGGTGAAGGGTGGATGGGTGAATTTAGAGAGATATATTGTGAAATTCTATCCAAGCAGAACCTAGAAATTACCAGAGGTAGTCGAGGGAAAATAGAACAATGCTGGTGTCCACATAATGGCTGGGATATGTCCAGAGGACAAAAAGGTGAAAAGAACAAGCCGAGGAAGACTTCTTACTTCATCCGAGGAAGACTCCTTACTTTATCAGGACGACCACCAGAGGGCGGTTGCGCAAGCGCAGAAGAGGCTGACGTCATAAGAGACTGATGTCATAAGAGACTGATGTGACAATCCTTAATGCATATGTATTAGTTATGTAACCTTCAGTGTATAAATTGCGAGCGCGATGTGACGAGGTCGAAGCCAGATTTGGACGCGTGCCCCTGGTTTCCCAGCGCTGCAGTAAAGCACCTCACAGAACCATCCAGTGCTGCTGTGCTGTGGTGCCTGAGGTACCGCCGGGCCTGCACTCCGGGCCTGCACTGCGCCCCAGCACCCGCTGTACAAGCACCGTATCCCGCCGCCGGTACCGCCCGCCGCTCGGAACGGCTTTCGCTGGTCACGCGTGCGCCGGAAGCGGCGGGCCCGATCGCGGCGCACATCCGGCGCCGTCTCTCTGCGCCGCGCGTTGCCTGCCCATGGCCGCCTCCGTGGTGAGTCTGTCGCGCCGGGCTCGGCCGCGGGGAACCTCGTCTGGGGCCGCGGCCCCGCCCGCACTTGCGCGCAGGTTCTGCGCCCAGGGCCGCGGGCAGCGGTTGCTGCCGCTCGGAGGAGGAGCCTGATACCGCGGGCGGGGCCGCTGGGCGCTGGTAGAAGAGGGTGGGGAGGGGAGCGCCTCGGTGCGGCGGTGTGCGCGGGTCCTTGCGGCTGGTCCTGCGGACTGGCCCGGTGCCGTGTGTCTTCGGCCTTGTGCGGGGCCCGAGGCCGGACGGTGCTTGGTGTGGTGCGTGTTACAGACACCATCGGCAGAGGCCGTGTAGATTGGCTGATTTCTTGGGGTTGTCCTCAGGGTCTTCAAGGGGAGAGGTTTTAGTTGGGTGGGTTGTTTTTAATTTTGCCTTTCTATTAAATATTAGGAAGAAAGATTCCCGAGTGAGGTGGTTAGACCCTGGAACGGGAGCCCGGAGAAACTGTGAAAGCTCCATCCTCTGAGATGTTCAGAGCAGGACACTGAGCAGTTAGGTCTGGCTCTGAAGTTGTGTCAGGTTTTGCAGTCGTCTCTGCTTTGAGCAGGGGCTTGGACCTCCTGAAGCTTCTTCCAACCTAAATTGTTCTCAGAACTTAAGAACGTATTCCAGGCTATGGTGGTAAAGAACTTGTCTGGAGTATCAAAACTGCCAAAGCGTGTTTCCCATTTGACACCCACTGCAGGTACCCTAACAGCTCATTGCAGTCTCCTGGCATTTCCTTAATGCTCTTTCTCACACTCTTTCAGTTCTGGCTGTTTGGCAGCTAAATGCAATGTTTGGCTGCTGGTTAAAAAGTGTATCTGTGCAAGGGTGTGCTGACTGAGAGTAACGACTATCTACTTTAAGTAACATTAACAGGCTGAGTTATAATCACTGTTCCTTTAGTGGGAGGTCTAATACTCTTACGGTGCCAGTTTCTTGGCAGTTGCTGGAATACATCATCTTTAAGATGAGTTTGCTGTAGATGCTTGGAATTGGCCTATGGCTTCTGAAGTTGATGGGGAAGATAGGAAGATAAAGAGCAGGCTTGTGCCCTTACAGCAGATCAAAAGAAAAGTATATAGTAACATGAGAGTGTTTGGTTTTGTGGAGTGAGCAGGAATTACTTGATAGGCCTGTAAGTTGCAAATACTGAGAATATAATGCTGAAATAGAATAATGATAAATTATTGTATTTTAAACAGACTATCTTAACAGGACCAACACAGGCTTATAGCTATATGGGCAGGAAATGGAGAATCACAACTTTCCAGGATGCCACAGTTCAGGGTCTGTAAGAAATCAAGGACCAAACAGCCAAACAAACTGAAAACAATAACTGAATGAGATCACGGTGCAGGGATGTAGCAACAAAGGCTGTTACCTGTGGATGAATAAAAGTAGAGAGATGTGAGGAGAAGTGTTAGTTTTTTATCTGTGGATATAGCTCTAGAGTGACTGATACTGGAATAATCCAGCATGTGTGCATGTTCTCTCTCCATCTCATCTTTCTGTCTATATATCCACATATATAATATATATACACACACATTTTGTATATGTGTGTACAAAGGTGTTTTAAAAAATGAGACTATGGAGTGTGAGACTATCACAGTGTGATGGGGTTCTTGCTGATTTTCAGAAATATCTTGAATAAGTCTTCTTCCTTTATTTCAGAACAGCATCACAGCAGCAAATATTTCCACTGAATACTTGCATGTTCACACCGCTTGCAACCAGCTGTAGCCCATTTTGTAAATATTTGCAATTTGAATACAATCAATATATCAATATTCAAAATGAATCCTAAAGCTGTCACCTGGCTAAAAGGTGATACCTCCTGAAAGGAAAGGGAGTTTGGGATCAGTTTCAACATTATTTGATACAATTTTTCAGTGAGGATGGAAAAGACCAACCAAGGTGACTTGCTGGAGAAATCACCTAGACAACCAGGTTGCAAAAAGTTGCCCGAGTAATTTGGTATGATTTCTTCTCTCCAGGATTTCAAAACCTACGTGGATCAAGCTTGCAGAGCTGCAGATGAGTTTGTCAACATTTATTATGAGACAATGGATAAAAGAAGAAGGGTATGTATCTATTGTGACAGTAGTTAGGACCATCTTGTGCATCTTTGCTTGCTTTTCGAGCTACCATTACACTTGAAAGCACCCAGAAGTTGGTTACTGTGTATCCTCTTGGCTGAGTTGAGACCTCTGCTCCTCTTAAACTGCCCCACAGTGGATTTTATGTTAACTGAGCAGCACTGTTGTAAAAAGTACCCTTTTAGAAAGTGCCTTTGACTTCTTAATGATAATAGTTCAGTTTGCATCCAGCTGTGTTTTACAGGTACAGCATTTGGTCAACACAGGCAGATAAAACTTGCTTTATTTGTCTCTGACATCAAGATTCAGATTAATTCTTTCCCAAACTACTTTTATTAGCAGTTATCATTTCTGTTTCTGGGGGTCTTGAGGAGCCTTTATTTCAGGAGGGCATTTTATCTATCAAAGTAATAGAAGAAGTCAATAATTCACAACATTCCTTATTCAAAGAATACTGGTTTTTATGTTGTCCATTCTGTGTGTTTACACATGTTCCCCAAATATGTATTTTCAGGCTTTAACAAGACTTTATTTGGACAAAGCCACGTTAATTTGGAATGGTAACGCAGTGTCTGGGCAAGAAGAACTGAGTAAGTTCTTTGAGATGTTGCCATCTAGTGAGTTCCAGGTTAACGTGTTGGACTGCCAGCCCGTTCACGGTAAGCTTGTATTCCACTTCACTCGTTTATTTGTCAGTCTTTTTGTAACTGTTGAGACTGAACTGCAATTATGATAGTGTTTAATGTTTCTTTTGGAACAAGCTGAGAAAAAATGCTGGGGGTTGAAATGTGAAGTTGTGCATAAATAAAACACAAATTGAGAGATGCAGCAAATCCACACTTTTTCTCATATCTGGGAAAATATTTTAAGGACTTTTCTGTGAAGTTCATATTCACATATGATGTCTTTTCATGTATTGAAAAAGTCTGGCATATCAGGTTGTGTTGTACTTGACAGTGTCTGAGAGTTGCAAACCTCTACTGTAGCCTCTGATGCTGACCTGCAGTATAATGTGGAACAGATTGTTAACCTGTATGTACTTTGATTTCTTTACATCTAGAATAGATGTCAGGTTCTTTAGATTTCTCATTAACAACTGCTATAGGAAGGCTTACATAATGGAGAAGTTAATGAATTATTTCTAATGAACATTTTGGGAATGTAAGTAAGGAAAAAGCTTGTCATACACGTGTGCTTTGCTGTATAAAAGATGATCTCTAATAGCAGGGACAAAAGTGTATGCAGCTTGCTAAATATAAATACATATGTGTGTATCAATGAGTATGTGTTCTAAGCAAAAACTCAGGTGGTTGTTACAGTGCTCTAAAATGAACATGAGATGAAAATGGAAAAGCCATTAAAAAGCAGTGCTGGCCAACAAATACACCTGTGTCTGTGCAGAAATGATGCAACAAAACTGTACTTTCCATAAACGTGTAACCTGATGTTAGCTGACAACTAATATAACTACCATGTATGTTTCCTACTTCTTTACCTGGTAGTCTTTGAGTTGTTTTCTTAATACTTTTTCTCCTTGGGAAGAGCAAGCTACGCAAGGGCAGACAACAGTCCTCGTGGTGACAAGTGGGACAGTAAAATTTGACGGTGACAAGCAGCGCTACTTCAACCAGAACTTCTTGCTGACAGCACAGGCCACTCCTACCAACACAGTGTGGAAGATTGCCAGTGACTGCTTCCGCTTTCAGGACTGGGCCAGTTAGTGAGGACTGCCTGAGAAAGTGACCTCTCTCATGGGACGGGTTGAAGTCAGCTGTACGGACAGCAGTTGCCCTGCATGGGGAACACTTGCTCTTCATCTTGCGCCTGTCGTTTATGGAGGGTCTATCATGAGTGTTTGAGGGTTGGTCTCAGTGACTTTGGGTTTAGTAATAAACAATCTTAAAATGTTAGAGGTTGCTGATGTTAGTCAAACCTAATAAAATGCTAAAGGCAGTGAGTTGCATTGGAATCATTCCTAAAATGCCTTACATGCAGCTATGCTGCCACTTCAGGCTTCTTGTATGTAATGCTGAAACTCTAATAATTGAACATAAAATTCTCTTAATGGACAATTCGGACCAAACGTATAGTTTTTCTACTTGAAAAGATCTGTTTTTACAATAGCATTTTCCGTCTTCTGAAGAAGATGCTCATGCATGTAGATAGAATTCTGAAAGTTACCTACTCTTTGTTGTAAGAGGCTAGGGAGGACTGACAGTGATTTCTGATGTTTGTGAAAGTAGCAGATACAGCCCCTGAGTGTGTAATCTCAAATAATCCATTGGAAAGGTAGCGTTACCTTCTCTGTTACGAAAGAACTACATAATCTCATCAGGTTTCCCTTTGTCTTGAGCTTCCCAGACTGTGGTTGTGTCGTTACTTTGCATCGATTATGCGTAGGGCATGCTGAATGATTCAGAGCACCTCTGCCAACAGTTCTTGTCACATGCATGTGAAGGACTTTCAAACTGATTCTTTTTCTTTTGAAGTCTTGCAGTTGTAAGAAATTGGTCAGTTGCAGCATTTCTGTTTGCTTTAACTGTTAATTCTGTTGCTACGAAGTCTGGGATATTTTTCCTGTATTCATTCTGCAAGTTTTGAATTCCTACTGTCTTTTCAGGACACATTGCAGTAAAGGAGTGGCACTGAAAGTGTGTATTACTGTGAAGCCTTCAACTTTTCAGTACTGTTATACAGAACAGGTGCTTTGATTATTTTCAAGCTAAAAGAACAGCTCTAAACACAAATACCGTCTTCCTCTCATGCAGATTTTTACTGTGGTTTCATATTAAGTATTGCCTTAAATTATTAATTCTGGGAATTTTTGTCTGTCTTGCTTGAAATCTGTGGCTTAAAGCATTCGACTGCTTTAAAACAGTTTTCAAGACTGCAAGTTAAGACTGTCCATGTTAACTTGGGAACTCCAGAGTAAATCTGAGTTTCAGCAGATTTGTTTCAAACTGGTACGTTTCTATTTTAAGCTGAGTAAAAAAATAGCTATATACCTGGGAGTGCACTTGCTTGTAACTGACAACACATGGGGGGAACTTGTAACTCTGATCTTAACATACATCACATGGGGGGGAACTTGCAACTCTGATCTTAATATACATCACAGAGACAACAGCAACCTGAATGCGAAATGTGGCTCACTTGTTTTATGACTTAAATCTGGGAAACTGTGAAAATGAGCATTAACCAACTTGTGTAAGACATAAAATGTGCAGTTTGCAATGTAGTCTCACAAATAATGGGATTTTTAGGTGAAATGAGTAGTTTTATTTCCTTTTAAGGCACTCTAGTGCCTTACAGAATTGGTTACCTGTCTTTATTCAGGAGCTGTTTGTGTTCTGAACTATTATGTAACTATTTTTTTAGCCTGAAGAATATGAATTCCTGCAAAACAATGCAAGAAGTCCAGAATTTGTGAAAACTGTAAATACTGTAAATAGTTATTTCTGTATGTAGTAACAGAAGGATTGGACTGTTTAATTACTGTTAGTTCTTAACAGAGTGTGCCAGGCTTCTAGGTTTGTGTTTCTTCTACGAGTTTGAAAAGAAAACCCTACATTTGCCTGTTACTGACAGAGCGTTGTTGAGCGGTGATGCTGCCATGCTGTGCTCTTCTGGTTTGCTAACTTGCTCTTGCTTGTATAAGTCGTGTTGCAGATGTGTTTGCATACACAAAACAGGTTTTGACTGTTGAAATGTACTGATTGGGTGCAACTGTTAGCATTTGCTTGTTGAACTTCGAAGGCAGTCAGCAGAACACACACTTATAGCTGTGCCTGATAAGCTTGTCTTGGGAATAAATACTTACTGGGTATTTTTATTCAGGCTTTTATTTGTATAGTAGTTTTTAAGCTTTTTGTATGGAGATTGGGAGATTTTCAATATATATGGCAAAGTTTTAGCCCAGTGTTGTTTTCAGTTATTTTCATGTTATTTACAGGCGAGCCGTTTTAAAATCTGACTTCTGCAATGAATATTAAGAAAGAGGGGAGAGTGAGATGAGATCTTAAGAAGTTCTTCCCTGTGAGAATGTTGAGGCACTGGCACAGGGTGCTCAGAGATGTGGCTGCCCCATCCTGGGCAGTGTTCAAGGCCAGGCTGGACATCGCTTTGGGCAGCCCTCTCCAGTGGAAGATGTCCATGCCTGTGGCAGGGGTTGGAACTGGATGAGCTTTAAGGTCCCTTCCAACCCAAACCAGGCTGGGTTTCTATTTAAAACAAAAAAAGGCATTGCTACCTGTAGCATCATTTAGGAAGCTGACTAATTGGCGTTACCTGCACAAACCCAGTTTAAACTTTTACTTAGTAAGATGTGTAGAAGTGCCATCGTCTCCAATGAGGATCACTTAGGGTGATTCTGTGCTACCATGATTAGCTGTTCCTCTTGTGTCTGAAAATGCTGGTGTATAAATATTTTTATGGAGTGTAGTGATAATGTAGCTCTCAGATTAAATCAGTGATTTTACAACCAGGTCATTAATGGCACAAACAAAAGATCTGTTCTTATCTTAGCCAGAGAAGTTTGGGATGCTGCACCTCCGCACTGCTTGTTAATACTTCTCTGCTCAAAATAGAACATACAAATGCTTTTTATTCCATTCAGTACCAAACCATCCAGCTGGTTTAGTGCTGCTGGCTGTGCTGTAATGTCCAGAATTTACAATAGGGATCTATAAAGCAGTCATGTTTATGCTCTAAACTGTGAACAGGGAGGTACTGCCACCATTTTTTTGCTGTTTGATGCCAAGTTATTAATGTACCACCAGGCAGTGAAACCAAGCCAGCTGAAGAGCTGAGCACTTCCACATACTAGGTTGTGACTACTGAAGATTTAATGGATCCCTTTTTTGTACATTCCTTGTGTTGTCTTTATCAGTCACTCATTTTATGTTACTTTGTTCTTTTGGGATACTACAGTTAAACTCACTTAAAATACTTGTGCTGTTTCTTGGAATCCTAGAATCATAGAATAGTTAGGGTTGGAAAGGACCTTAAGATCATCCAGTTCCAACCCCCCTGCCATGGGCAGGGACACCTCACACTAAACCATGTCACCCAAGGCTCTGTCCAGCCTGGCCTTGAACACTGCCAGGGATGGAGCATTCACAGCCTCCCTGGGCAACCCATTCCAGTGCCTCACCACCCTAACAGTAAAGAACTTCTTCCTTACATCCAATCTAAACTTCCCCTGTTTTAAGTTTTAACCCATTACCCCTTGTCCTATCGCTACAGTCCCTAATGAAGAGTCCCTCCCCAGCATCCCTATAGGCCCCCTTCAGATACTGGAAGGCTGCTATGAGGTCTCCACGCAGCCTTCTCTTCTCCAGGCTGAACAGCCCCAACTTTCTCAGCCTGTCTTCATACGGGAGGTGCTCCAGCCCCTGATCATCCTCATGGCCTCCTCTGGACTTGTTCCAACAGTTCCATGTCCTTTTTATGTTGAGGACACCAGAACTGCACACAATGCTCCAGGTGAGGTCTCACAAGAGCAGAATAAAGGGGCAGGATCACCTCCTTCGACCTGCTGGTCACGCTCCTTTTGATGCAGCCCAGGATACGGTTGCTTTCTGGGCTGCAAGCGCACACTGAAGCCAGCTCATGTTCATTTTCTCATCAGCCAGCACCCCCAAGTCCTTCTCCGCAGGGCTGCTCTGAATCTCTTCTCTGCCCAGCCTGTAGCTGTGCCTGGGATTGCTCCGACCCGGGTGTAGGACCTTGCACTTGGCATGGTTAAACTTCATGAGGTTGGCATCAGCCCACCTCACAAGCGTGTCAGGGTCCCTCTAGATGGCATTCCTTCCCTCCAGCGGATCAACCGAACCACACAGCTTGGTGTCATCTGCAAACATGCTGAGGGCACACTCAATCCCACTGTCCATGTCAGCGACAAAGATGTTGAACAAGACCAGTCCCAACACCGATCCCTGAGGGACACCACTTGTAACTGGTCTCTAGCTGGACATTGAGCCATTGACCACAACTCTTTGTGTGCGGTCATCCAGCCAGTTCTTTATCCACCGAGTGGTCCATCCATCAAATTGATGTCTCTCCAATTTAGAGACAAGGATGTCGTGTGGGACAGTGTCGAACGCTTTGTACAAGTCCAGGTAGATGACATCAGCTGCTCTACCCCTGTTCATCAGTTCTGTAACCCCATCATAGAAGGCCACCAAATTGGTCAGGCAGGATTTCCCCTTAGTGAAGCCATGCTGGCTGTCACCAAGCACCTTGTTGATTTTCATGTGCCTTAGCATGCCTTCCAGGAGAATCTGCTCCAAGATGTTGCCAGGCACAGAGTTGAGACTGACTGGTCTGTAATTCCCCAGGTCATCCATTCTCCCCTTCTTGAAAATGGGGGTTATATTTCCCTTTTTCCAGTCGTCGGGAACTTCACCTGACTGCCATGATCTATCAGATATGATGGCCAGGGGCTTAGCAACTTCATTTGCCAGCTCCTTCAGTCCCCGCAGATGGATTTCATCAGGACCCATGGACTTGTGCACGTTCAGATTTTTAAGATGGTCTCGAGCCAATTCCTCTCCTACAGTGGGCCCAAGGTCTTCATTCTCACAGTCCCTGTGTCTGCCTTCCAAGACTTGGGTGGTGTGGTCAGAGCCTTTGCCAGTGAAGACCGAGGTAAAGAAGTCATTCAGAACCTCAGCCTTCTCCAAATCCAGGGTAGGCAGTTCTCCCAAGAGCTTCCTGAGGGGGCCTACGTTCTCCCTAGTCATTTATTTGCAACGTACTTATAGAATCCCTTCCTGTTATCTTTCACAACCTTTGGCAGATTTAATTATAACTGGGTCTTGGCTTTCCTAACCTGGTCCTTAGCTTCCTGGACAACATCCCGGTATTCTTTCCAGGCCACCTGTCCTTGCTTCCACCTTGTAAGCTGCTTTTTTCCCTTGAATTTTCCTCAGCAGCTCCTTATCCATCCAAGG